GTATGGCCCATACTTTGAGATTGATGAGGATCTGGATCGGTGGGCACAGATGTGGAAAAGAAGTATGGAGAAACTGCTTTTCAGGAGTTTTTTCCCTTCTTTGCCTTTTTTCACTAGGACCTGGCTGGCTTTCTCTAAAAAAAAAAAAAATCTGTCTAATGTGGTCTGCTGTTGGTGTTTCCTTAACTGTTTTCTAAAAGACTTTACTAAATTATCAACGATATCGATAACATGCTAACCAGTTCCTTATCATGATGATTCTTTTCAAATTATAGCACAACGCTTGGAACACAGCCACAAAAGATTTAAACAACTCGAGTACTAAAAATCCAACTAACAAGTGACCGAAACACAAACTGCTTTTGTTTACAAAAATCAATTGTGTTGGGTTGAGTTCTGATGTTTTGTTTGAGTTCCGATGCAAAATTTTCTCTACATTTCGTGTCAAAATCTGATCATGTCGAGTAACTGGGGTTCTACTGTGTGGAAAATTCTAAGAGCTGTAAGAGCCCCCAATAAAATAATTTAAAAAAATAAAAGTTTAATTTTGTAATCAAGCAAATTTAGCTTTTTGTGTACTTAGAGTTTTGGAGGGATTTTTTAAAAATCATTTTATTGGGGGCTCGTACAACTTACTACAATCCATACATACGTCCATTGCGTCAAGCACATTTGTACATTTGTTGCCATCATCCTTAAAACATTTGCTTTCTACTTGAACCCTTGGTTTCAGCTCATTTTTAACCTTCCCTCCCTGCCCCCTGCCCTCACGAACCCTTGATAATTTATAAATTATTATTATTTTGGCATGTCTTACACTGTCTGACATCTTCCTTCACCCACTTTTCTGTATCTGTCCCCCAGGGAGGGGGTTATATGGAGATCCTTGTGATTCGGTTCTCCCTTTCTACCCCACCTTCCCTCCACCCTCCCAGGATCGCCACTCTCACTGGTTCTGAGGGGTTGTTCTGTCCAGATTCCCTGTGTTTCCAGTTCCTGTCTGTACGAGTGTACATCCCCTGGTCTAGCCGGATTTGTAAGGTAGAGTTGGGATATAGTTGGGAGAGGAGCCATTAAAGACCTAGAGGAAAGTTGGGTGTTTCATCATTGCTACACTGCACTCTGACTGGTTGGTCTCCTCCCCGCAACCCTTAGAGGGATTTTTTTAACTCATCCATTTTCAGTCTAAACTAAAAAGAAAAGAAAACTGATTCCAACTCATGGTGTCCCTATAGGACAGAGTAGAACTACTCATTACGGTTTCCGAGACTCTAAATCTGTATAGGAAAAGAGAGCAACATTTTTTCCTCTTGCAAAGCTGCTACTGGGTTTGAACTGGTAATCTGTGGTTAGCAGTTAGTTCTTGACCATTATATGACCAGGGCCCCGATGTTTAGTCTAGCTATTAACAATCTGTTAAAATCGTATATTTAACACTA